ATTTCAGCATGTTGCCCAGGCTGGTCTCAAACTCCTGAGCTCAAGCAATATGGGATTTCAGGCATGAGCCACCACACCTGGCCACCAAATTACTTAAAAATAATAGTGCTTTGTTGATATGTAGTTTACATACCATACATTTTACCTATTTAACATGTACAGTACAATGGGTTTTAGTATATCAAAGTTCTCCATTCATCGCCATAATCAGTTTTAAAGTGTTTTCATTTGACATGGGAGAATCGATTGAACCCGGGAGGCAGAAGTTGTAGTGAGCTGAGATTGCATCACTGCACTCTAGCCTGGGTGACGGAGTGAGACCTTGTCTCCAAAAACAAACAAAAAAGTGTTATCATCCCAAAAAGAAACTCTGTGCCCATTGGCAAATCATTCTTTATCTCCTTCTACTCTTCCCCCAACCCCAGGCAAACACTGATCTATTTTCTGTCTCTATAGATTTTGCCTGTTCTAGTTATTTTATATAAATGGAATCATACAGTATGTGGTCTTTTGTGACCAGATTAATTTTGACATAATTGTAGTTCCTAAAGTGTTACATAAACACTGTTCTTGACCTATAGTCTGAATTTCATAGTACTTTGAACTTAGGCAGTTATAATCTTGCAGATATCTAAAAAATTAACTTTTGTTATGGGAAATTTCAAATATATTCAAAAGTAAAGAATAAAAGTAGCCTGGGCACAGTGGCTCATACCTATAATCCCAGCACTTTGGGAGGCCAAGGTGGACAGATCACCTGAGGTCAGGAGTTCAAGGCCAGCCTGGCCAACGTGGTGAAACCCTGTGTCTACTAAAAATACAGAAAATTAGCTGGGCATGGTGGCAGACTCCTATAATCCCAGCTACTTGGGAGGCTGAGGCAGGAGAATCACTTGAACCCGGGAGGCAGAGGTTGCAGTGAGCCGAGATTCTGCCACTGCCCTCCAACCTGGGCCACAAGAGTGAAACTTTGTTTCAAAAATAGATAAATAAATAAAAGTAAATGTTATAATAATCCTCCAGATACTTATAACCAGCTTCCATAGTGATTATCTTGCACAGTTATCAACATATGGCCAGTTTCGATTTAGCTATAGCCACTCACCTGCCACTGTCCTTTCCTGCTGTACATTATTTTATTTTTTGAGACGAGGTCTTACTCTGTTGCCCAGGCTGGAATGCCCAGTGCCATCAGGGCCACTGCTGAGGTCTTTCTACCTCAGCCTCCTGAGTAGCTGGGACCACAGGCATACACCACCACATCTGGCTAATTTTTGTGAGATTTTTGTAGAGACAGGGTTTTTCCATGTTGCCCAGGTTTGTCTCTACCTCCTGAACTCAAGTAGTCCACCAGCCTTGACATCCCAATGTGCTAGGATTATAGGCATGAGCTACCATGCCTAGCCTCCTCTAGATTATTTTAAAACAAATCTCTGACATTATATTATTTCATCCATAAATAATTTGGTATGTATCTTTTAGAAATAAAAATTCATTTAAAAAAGACAAACCTATAATATTACTAAACCTAAAAAAATTAACAATAATTTTAAGTATAATAACTAGCTAGTATTCCACTTTTCTCAGTGGTCCCATTAATGTCTTTTCACAGTTGTTTTATTTCAAATCAGAATTAAAACAAGACACACACGATGCATTTTGATGATAAGGCTCTGAAGTCTTTTTTTTTTTTTTTTTTTTTGCCAGTACGATACCCTCTGTTTTTTCCCTTTCCATTTATTTGTTGAAGAAATTTGGCCATCGTCTTATAACATTTCACACACTGTGGATTTTGCTGACTATAGCCTAGATTTTTTTTAAATGTTCTTCTAGTGCTCATTTTTCTTGTAACTTAGTACTTAGAGCTAGAAGCGCAATTAAAATCAGATACAAATTTTAAAAATAAGAATATTAGGAAGTTTTTGTATTCTGTACACCATATCAGCACATATGTAATGTCTGGTAGTCTTTCTTTTGTTATGATTGATCAGTGAGTAGACATCATCTTAACCCTATCTTCTATTGAATCTAGAAATTCCCTTACAAATGGCCACCTGCTTAAATTCTTTTTTTTTTGTTTGTTTTTTGCAGAGTCCTGTTCTTTTGCCCAGTTTGGAGTGCAGTGGTATGATCTCAGTTCATTGCAACCTCTGCCTCCCAGGTTCAAGTGATTCTCCTGCCTCACCCTCTCTAGTATCTGGGATTACAGGTGCATGACACCCATCTGGCTAATTTTTGTATTTTTGGTAGAAACAGGGTTTTGTCATGTTGGCCAGGCTGGTCTTGAACTTTTGACCTCAGGTTATCTACCTGCCTCAGCCTCCCAAAGTGCTGGGATTACTGGTGTGAGCCACCGCACCCTGCCTTCTTTTAAAGGAATCAGAATCTACTCCCTTCAGGAGGTTCCAGTGGCCACCGTCTTATCTAGGAATCACACTTGGCTTGATTAGAGAAACACCCAATTCTAAACATTACTCTGTAATTCTTTTCTTTTCTTTTTTTGAGACAAGGTCTTGCTCTGTCACCCAGGCTGGAGTACAGTGGCATGAACATGGCTCACTGCAGTTTCAACCTTCCAAGCTCAAGTGATTCTTCTGCCTTCACCTCCCAAGTACAGGTGGAGCCATCATACCTGGCCAGTTTTTTAATGCTTTTTTCTTCTTCTTCTTCTTTTTCTTTTTTTTTTTGAGACGGAGTTTTACTCTTGTTACCCAGGCTGGAGTGCAATGGCGCGATCTCGGCTCACTGCAACAACCTCTGCCTCCTGGGTTCAGGCAATTCTCCTGCCTCAGCCTCCTGAGTAGCTGGGATTATAGGCACGTGCCACCAAGCCCAGCTAATTTTTTGTATTTTTAGTAGAGACGGGGTTTCACCATGTTGACCAGGCTGGTCTGGATCTCTTGTGCTCGTGATCCACCCGCCTCGGCCTCCCAAAGTGCTGGGATTACAGGCTTGAGCCACCACGCCCGGCTCTTTTTTTTTTTTTTTTTTTAAGATATGGTGTCTTGCTATGTTGCCTAGGCTGGTCTTGAACTCCTGGGCTCAAGTGATCCTACTGCCTCAGCATCCCAAAGTGCTGAGATTACAGGCATGAGCTACCATGCCCAGCCATAGCTGTAATTCTTAAACCTGGCTACCTAGTCATCTGAGGAGTGACTCAGAAAACGCCAAAAAACACAGTATACAGAAATAATTTTATAGAAATAAGAGCATACCACACATGCTGTTTTTATTATAGACAACTTTCCTGTCCCTTCTCTCACAGTCAGTCCCTACCTCCCCAGGTGATTATCAAGTGTGCATACATTGTATTTTTCTGTTCATACAATCCTGTGTAGGCCTACATATACATAAACTGGTTTTTTTTTTTTTTTTTTGCTTATAGATCATTTTACAGTTTTTTTTCTTTTAATGCAATAATGTTTCATTTAAATTCCTTTAAATAATCTAATTTAACTCAGTTCATTCTTATTAAGTGACTGGACAATATTTGGTATTAAACCATAATGTATTTAGCTAGTCTTCTATAGATGGGCACTACTTTATTTCTAGTTTTTGGCTACTATAAATTATGTCAGCAGAAAACATTCTTGGTTGGTTGTGGTGGCTCACGCCTGTGATCCCAGCACTTTGGGAGGCTGCGGTGGTCAGATCATGAGGTCAAGAGATTGAGACCATCCTGGCCAACATGGTGAAACCTTGTCTCTACTAAAAATATAAAAGTTAGCTGGGTGTGGTAGTGCCCACCTGTAGTCCCAGCTACTCAGGACCCCAAAGCAGGAGAATCACTTGAACCTGGGAGTCAGAAGTTGCAGTGAGCAAAGATGGTGCCACTGCACTCCAGCATGGTGGCAGAGCGAGACTTCATCTCAAAAAAAAAAAAATTCTTATACATATGTTGTTATTAATTGGTATTTTTTCTTCTTCTTCCCAGGATTAGAATTGGGATAAATATATTTTTTATTTTATTGGAGATTACCAGGTTTCTTTTTAGGAAGCTATTATAACGTTTCAGATTTCCCCCAAAAATGTTCAAGGATATTTTCTTAGACTTTTTGAGAACCTTTCAAAAATGAAAATTCCCAGGCTCCAACCACAGATCTTCTGATTTCAGGTCTGTGGTAACATTCAGGAAGCTATATTTTTTAAAGTTCCCAGATGAATCTGAGGTGGTATTGAAAGCACTGCATTTAAGTACCCAGGAATATTAAAAATAACTGGTCTTACAGTACTTACATGAACAATATTAGCTTCAGCCAGATATATATATATTAGAATCAAATTATCAAATCGAGACATGAATTGGCTGCGGATATGTATATCAAATGTAGGTCAAGGGCATATACAGTTTCAGAATGGAAAACTTAATTAGTTGGATTGGGGATAGCCTCTTGGGAGTCACCTATGCAGTTTAAAGCAACTGTGAACAATCTGGAAAGATTTTGAAGAGAGGTAAGCATTTAGTGGTTGGTTAGAATTTAAGTGACTGAGAGAAGCTCAGAGGAAAGTAAAAGAGCATTACACATGTAAAACATTCCTGAGCATCTCCTGCTCAGAGAAAAGAGGTCACCAGGTGAGATGATAAGAGTACTGTGCTGAAAATCAAGAGGCTTTAATTTAATCCTTGTTAAACTACTAAACTGTCAGACTGTGGAACTCATTTTCCTGTTACAGAAAATGAAGAGGTTTGATAGATGATTATTATGATCATTTCAATTCTGAACTAGACTGGAGATGATAATTTCCTTTGTCACCACATATAGTCTAGAAAATCACCGTGTCAGATAATTTCCTCTGTCTATAAGTCTGGAGCCCAAGTCTGACAGAAGCTGATTATGTTTACAAAAAATGAAATTAAGCAAGATGGGGACATTCAGTTGTTTGTCCATAGAGCCCTTTCTCTACAAAGTTTTTCAAGGGCTGTGATCTGAGACCCTTGTGGCCTACAGGAAACTGTCCATATTCTAAAATTCTTATTTCTAAATTCCAGGAGCATGTCCTCCATTGAATTCAGGGATGCATATTTATTATTTAATGAAACAAGAACTCCTGAGTTTGTGCTGCTAAGCTTAGCGATTAGGCCCCAGGAGAAGAGATGGCCTCAACTTCTATTTGTGTTTTCCTCTTCAGGCTCTGCAGATGGCATGGGGAGGAGGTTGCACTCAGCTCCTGGTCCTGGTCTCTCAAAGACTCCAACAGCAGAAATGGAGCACGGTCTCCATGAAGCCAGAACAGTGCGTACTTCTCAGGTAGCAGCCTCAGGTGCTAAGGTGCCGAGCCTGGGGTGGTATGTTGGGGAAGGAATTGTAGAGAGATGTGACTGGTAGGGATGATGATAAGGCAGAGGCATGGTGATATGGGGGCTATCAGAAGAAAATAAGGTCTATGATTGGGCTTCTTTTGAATGAGAGGAAATTGATACATAGCCACTATCTTACCAATACATTTAATTCAGGAGTCTTTCCCCTATTCTTTCCCATACCCTGAGGATAGTGTCTGTGGGAAAACCATGTCTGGTATTATGTGTCTGCCTGTATGTGTCTGTGTGTTTGAAGGCTACACCTTGCCGAGGCCTCAGCAGGGAGTGTGGGGAGAATGAGCAGTACAGTGCAGAGAACTTTCGCCGCATCTCACGCAGTCTCAGTGGCACCGTTGTCTCAGAGAGGGAGGAAGCTGCAGTTTCTTCCCACAGTTTTGTAAGTAGAATCAGGGTCTATCTGTTCAGAACATCCTCTTCCTTGCTAAGCAAAAGTACAGTGCAAGCGAAGAAGCAGGGAGAAAGTGAAGGTTGTAATGTGAGGAAAAGCCATGTGTACTCAGCAAAAATAAGGACACACAGTCGTTATTTTATTTATAAGCATTCAGTTGGAGCCCAGAGAAATGTTCATTCCCTGTAGCAGTTCTGAAAGGCTGTGCGTGTTGTATGGTTTCCTATGTGAGAAGAGTAATAATACTTGAGAGGAATCTGAGAAGCAGAGGCTGCTCATTGGGTAAGAAGCCACTGCACTAATCAGAGGAAGAAGGGAAGAATTGGGATGGAGTATTGTTTTGCTTTTTCCTCTCACCCCCAGTATGTGACTGAATAGAATCCAGTGTGTTTTCAATCTAAAGTGAAGCATGTGCATCAGTGAGAAAAGGAAAAAAGTCTTCTTGAGAATTTTCATATACTAATGCAGTGATGTGTAGTTGGAAGGGACAGGAAAGCCCAATCAATTTCACTCCCTTACCCAAGTTGAGTTTTCATTACAGTAGAGGTCACACGTGAGCCATTGCGCCCGGCCTCATTTTTCCAATTTTTAAATATCATCTGAGGCTAAGTGTGGTGGCTCATGCCTGTAGTCCCAGCACTTTGGGAGGATCACCTGAGGTCAGGAGTTCGAGACCAGCCTGGCCAACATGGCAAAACCCTGTCTCTACTAAAAATATAAAAATTAGCCAGGCGTGGTGGCGGGTGCCTGTACTCCCAGCTACTGGGGAAGCTGAGGCAGGAGAATTGCTTGAACCCAGAGGCAGAGGTTGCAATGAGCCAAGATTAAGCCATTGCACTCCAGCCTGGGTGACAAAAGGAGACTGTCTCAAAAAAAAAAGCTGAATTTATAATAAGATTTATTCAATTTATTGTTCATAAATTCCTAAACAATTCTGACCAGGCTGCCATTCTTTTTTGGAAAAGGTGTACTCTCCTGCCTACCACTTGTTCACCTGTACTTTCTTTTTCTTCTTTGAGATGGAGTTTCGTTCTTGTTGCCCAGGCTGGAATGCAATGGTGTGATCTCAGCTCAGCACAACCTCCGCCTCCCAGGTTCAAGTGATTCTCCTGCCTCAGCCTCCCGAGTAGCTGGGATTATAGGCATGCACCAGGATGCCCAGCTAATTTTGTATTTTTAGTAGAGATGGGGTTTCTCCATGTTGGTCAGGTTGGTCTTGAATTCCCGACCTCAGGTGATCCACCCACCTTGGCCTCCCAAAGTGCTGGGATTACAGACATGAGCCACTGCACCGGCCTGTTCTTATATACTTTCAATGCATTTAACGGCAAATTGTTATTTTCCTAGGAGAGTTATTTCCTTTCTTCTGACTTCTGTATCATTTATTGATTCATTCTTTTTTTATTTTTAAAAACTTTTGTCTTTATTCCTGTTTCCTTTTTTATCCAACATACTGTACAAGTTTAATGCCATTGATTCATTTTTTTAAAATAAATGCTTATTGATTCTGTCACAAGATTCCTAGCACGAAAATAAACAAATAAGTGCTTACTGAGTGTATGTTTTAGGTATTATGCTAGGTGCTGGGGATGCAGTGGTGAGTTAGATATAGTCCCTGCTTTTACGGAGCTTACAGTCTACAGTGAGGGACAGATAAATAAACACTTATAATGTATTAAGGATTTAATCCTATGGGAACATAATAGAAGGGACATTTAAACCAAGCTTGAGGTATCACGGAAGGCTTCCTGGAAGAAGCAAAAAGAATATAGTAGGTAAAAGAGACTGAGCAAAAATTAACTGAATTAAAAGCTTATTTAGTATGGCAGGATTAGAAAGTCTGGTGAGGGGAGATGTTGGAGAGTGTTGACAAGAGAGGCTGCAAGGAATATAAACAAGGGTCAGATCATGGACCACAGAGAGCCCTGTATATCACCATAAGTAATTTGAAAGGATAGAGAGAAGCCGATGTACTTGAGACCTGGTTAGGAAGTAAACCATCAGTGGGATTCGGTGCCTGCTTGGATATTGGGAGAGGGGAATAAAGGATGATACCCAAGTGTTATAGGTAGATAATGATATATTTGAGGGAAGATATGCATTCGGTTTTGCATATATTAAGCTTGAGTGGAGATATCTGGCAGGCCTTTGGAATGAGACATATAAGCTAGAAATTGAAAATTTGGAAATCATAGCCATTGAAGAGAGGAAAAGACTATTGCAGAAAGAGGAGAGGAGCCAGGACATATCCCTAAACACATCAGATTTAAGGCAGTTCTTCTTCTGAAGAACCCTAAAAGGAGACTGGGAAAAAAAGACTAGAGAGATTGAAGGGAAACCAGGGATGTGTGGTACCATAGGCACCAATGGGAGAATGTTTAAAGAAGAAAGGAATAATTAGCTATGTCACATGCTGAGAGAACTGGCACCTAATCCATATGTGGTATGATAAATGCATATCTTGTGCCATCTTTTTCTTTCTTTCTTTTTTTTTTTTTGAGACGGAGTTTCGCTGTTGTTACCCAGACTGGAGGGCAATGGCACGATCTCGGCTCACTGCAACCTCTGCCTTCTGGGTTCAAGCAATTCTCCTGCCTCAGCCTCCCAAGTAGCTGGGACTACAGGTGCGCACCACCATGCCCAGCTAATTTTTGTATTTTTAGTAGAGACGGGGTTTCACCTTGTTGACCAGGATGATCTTGATCTCTTGACCTCGTGATCCACCCATCTTGGCCTCCCAAAGTGCTGGGATTATAGGCATGAGCCACCACACCCGGCCTTCTTGTGCCATCTTATGGTAGGTGCTGTGAGCATACACTGATGAAACAACACAAATTCTGCCCAATAGCTTGCAGTCTCATAAAGGAAATTAGACATATTGGCATATAGATTATTTTATTTAATGTGTTATTTACTAAGTGCCCACATTGTTCTAGGTACTGTTCAAGGTGCTGGGGATACAGAAGTAAAAAGAAATAGAGAGAAAGATAATAAACAAATAAATGATTTAATGCCAGACAATGATAAGTATGATAAAGAAGAATAAAATAAGTCAAGAGAATAAGGAGTAAAGAGGTAACAGTGGTTTTTTTGAGGGCTATTCCTGATAGTAGGGTAGTGAGAGAAATCAGCTCTAAGGAAATAACACTTGATCAGAGAGCTCAGTGATGTGAAGGTGTGAGCCATCAGAAGAATATTCTTGGTAACAGAAACACTAAGTATAAAGGCTCTGAGGTAGCAATGAGCTTGGTGTGTTTGAGGAACATTAAAGTTGGAGTATAAAATCTACAGGAATGATAGGAAATAAAGTGAGGAACAGCAGGACCATATCACATAGGACCTGTAGGCCATGGTAAGGAGGAGTGGATTGGAGTTAGGAAGGCTGTTGCAGTAGTCCAGGTGAGTTTAAATATAAAAACCTATAGATAAAAATGACAGCCCTTGGCAACTAGTGGAATTGTGGATGGGAAGTGGGAAATCAAGGTCATTGCCAATGTTTGAATATGGGTGATTTAGGAAAATGAGGTGCCAGGAGGAGGAGTTTGGAAGGATTTTGGTTCAATTTTGGATATGTTAGTGTTTCAGATGTTAAAAGGGGATATTTCTGGGTATTTACCATAAAAGTAGATAACTAATAGGGAGTAGAGCAGGACATACTAAGCATTGGTAAATACAAACTTGACAGGCAAAAGAGGAAGCTGTGGAATGTGTGGCAGTGACAGGAGAGAAGATGGGGTAGAATCCTTGATTCTACATTTAAACATACATAGTTTTATTCTCAATGCTTAGAATAAGTATAGGATTTTTTTTTTCTCATTCTCTCAGGCTTCTGAATTTCTCTCATTTCATTTTTATTTTTAAATTTCTATCTCAATCTCTCTAATTCTACTGTTAGCATTAAGGAGTTTGCTAAAGACCTGAATGTTAGGGTTGGGAAGGTGAGGGATATGAGGAAGACTGGGTAAGGGATGAGGATCTGAAGTTTGGAGTTTCTTAAAGGGCTGACAAGGGAAAGTGACTGAGTAAATTGGGTCCCTCTCCCGAACAAGGTATGTGCTCTGGTTCCCTCCATTTCCCTTTGCTTGCCTCACTGTGTTTACCCAACTACATCCTGCTTTGTGTTAATCCTCATCTCTATGTTTTTTTGTCTTGTCTCATTATAAGGATTCATCAAACGTGAGGAAGCCTTTGGAAACCGGGCACCGTTGTTCCAGCTCCTCTTCCCTCCCTGTCATCCATGACCCTTCTGTGTTTCTCCTCGGTCCCCAACTCTACCCCCCCCAACCACAGTTCCTGTCCCCAGATGTCCTGATGCCCAGCATGGCAGGGGAGCCCCATAGACTCCCAGGTAACTCCCCCAAATCTAATATTATGTGCCAGAATTTGGTACCTTTTCAAGGGCCTCTAAGAGTCAAATCAATATACCTATGGGGAGGGGTTATATCCCAAGGTGGAGGGGTATGAGGATATGAATTACTGCTTCAAAGTCATGCTTTGATCTAGATAAGTATTAAATCATTTGTTGGGCACTATGGTTCTTCGACCAAGAGTCTAGACCACCACCCCTGGAGTCTGTCTTCTTATGAGAATGAACTGCTTTAGTCATGATAGAACAGTTAACTCCCCTTTTAACTGACAAAGAGGAGTTAATACCCAGTCTGAGACACTCCCAGAACAGAAATGGTAATCTTTATCAACTAGTTTTCTCTCCTTCTGTCCTCTGAGTCTCAGCTGAGGGATGGTCTAGGAGGACAGGGAATGAGTGGGAGAACTGGAAAGACCCTTTACATGAATTACCCACACTGTGTGTACAGACCCAGACAATCGTGGAGAAGGCAGGCAGCATCATTCTGGCTTTCTTTGACCCTCCACAGTTAGATGCTGTCTTTTTTTCCACTCACGGGCTGGATGTACAAGCTTGAGGCAGTGGTTCTCAATGGAGAACGGGGAGGTACTACCAGTATCTAGAGGGTAGAGGCCAGGGATGCTGCTAAACATCACACAATGCACAGAGCAGTCTCTCCCCAACCCCAACACAGAATTATCAGCCCAAGATATCAATAGTGCCCAAGTTGAGTAAATGTATAAGAAAAGGCATTCCACATTAGATCTCAGAGATCAAAGGCAGCTTAACTGCAGATAACTTTTTTTTTTTTTTTGAGACAGAGTCTTGCTCTGTCACCAGGCTGGAGTGCAGTGGCACAATCTAGGCTCACTGCAACCTCCGCCTCCTGGGTTAAAGTGATTCTTCCTCCTCAGCCTCCCAAGTAGCTGGGACTACAGGCATGTGCCACCATGCCCTGCTAATTTTTGTATTTTTAGTAGAAAAGAGGTTTCACCAGGTTAGCCAGCATGGTTTTGATCTCTTGACCTCGTGATCCACCCGCCTCAGCCTCCCCGAGTGCTGGGATTACATGTGCGCCAAGATAACATTTTTTGTTTGTTTTTGTTTTTGTTCAAGATAACATTTTAAGAAAGGTTGGAAAAAAAAAAAAAGGCACAGTCTCTCAGCACATTGGGAGGCCAAGGTGGGAGGACTACTTGAGCCCAGGAGTTCCAGACCAGCTTGGGCAACATAGTGAGATCCCATCTCTATTTTTTAAAAAAAGAAAAGCTGAGTGAGGTTTTGGTATGGTGGCTCTAGAAGTATAGTCATCATAAAGGGAGTATACGGCCCTTCTTTTATATGTGCGTATGTACTGGATGAGAGGTGGAGGGAGGTAGAGGTATGGCAACATCCCTGAGACTGTTTCATTTGCCCAGGTTGGAGGTATGAGATTTGATTTTGATGAATATTAAGAATTTTAAAAAATAGAATCAAAAGCACAGTTAGGTTCTTTCTTTCCCTTGTGTGTATGCTCTTGGAGGAGTGAGGAATTGGGCTGAACAGCTAGGCATGGCTCTCTGGGAAGGAGAATGGTTTTCTGAAGATGCTGAATCTTTGGGTTTCTTTTCTTTCCCCAGGAACTTCGAGGAGTGTCCAGCAGTTTCTGGCTATGTGTGACAGGGGTGAAACTTCCCAAGGGGTCAAGTACACAGGAAGGACTTTGAACTACCAGAGCCTCCCGCATCGTTCCAGAACAGACACCGCCTGGGCACCCTGGTCAGAGACTAACCAGCATACTGGGACCAGATTCCTGACTACTCCAGGGTGCAATCCTCCGCTAACCTACACTGCCACACTACCAGAAAGAAGCAAGGGCCTTCAGGTTCCTCACGCTCAGTCCTGGGGGGATCTTTTCCATTCACCCTCCCACTCTCCCATTGTTCACCCTGTGTACCCACCATCCAGCAGTCCCCATGTACCCCTAAGGTCAGCTTGGAATTCAGATCCTGTTCCAGGGTCCCGAACCCCTGGTCCTCGAAGAGTAGATATGCCCCCAGATGATGACTGGAGGCAAAGCAGTTATGCCTCCCAGTTTGGACACAGGAGGACAGTGGGAGAGGGGTTTCTGTTTGTTCTACCAGGTGCCCCTGGAAGAGAACAACTCAGGGCCAGAGTCCTGCAGCACAGCCGATGGTAAAGGTCACCCTTTCCTTTCCTGGAGCTACACCTTTCTCTGTAAAACTGTACTGTGGCAGTGCTGGTACCCTGCATCACTGCCATGGTTGTGCTATTCTCATCTCAACATAGAATTGGTGGGTTCACCTAGGGGTGTCAGGAACCTCTGAAAAGACCTGATTCTTTGGGAGGGAATATTTGAAATTCCAACTTCCATTCCCCCTAACAAAAGGAAGCAGCTGCTGTTTAAGCGTTTTATCTGAGCCACTTTAAAGGTGAATCCGTGGTATTACTCTGGATACTAGCCATTCCTTAGGAGCTTAAGGTCACATTTTATTCCTGGATACTTTATGTCCCCACCTCCACCTGAGCCCTCGTCTTCTGTTCCCTACTATATTCCCAACTTCTACTCTTTGTTTTATCCACCGGTCCCTATTGCCTGACCTTTTATCTTCCCTATCTCTCATCCTTGGAGGGACATGTAGCCCTGTGGTCATAGTTCTGATTGCATCATCAGGGCATCCCCCCTGCCCAGGTATTATGGCCCATCAGCATTAAGTGTGCCCTCCAAACCTTAGGCCTAGAACGCGGAGCTGCCAACATAACATTCACCCTTTTGAACAGATGGGAGTCAGGCACACTAACACAGCCTTCTGTCCTCAGCAGCACAGCCATTACTGCCACTTGCTCAGTCGCTGTTGTAAACCCTCAGAGTCAGCTGAACTATTTTAGGCCAAACATACTGTTTTTGTAAAGTATTTTTCATTAATAAATCTATAAGATAGTTCTATTTAATTCCTTGTCATTCTTCCCTTTGTATGCTCTTGCTTTTTTGTATTGGGGTGGGGAGGCCTGGACAAATATATGAGGTGGCTTTTGACTGAGTGGAAGTGAGGAGCCAGAGAGGAGTTGAAGGATATACAATCAAGGTGGGAATCAATGGGCCCTGAAATAGGGTGCCTTTCCTTGCTACTATTCCTGCTAGGATGTTTCCCATCCCTTTCCTGACAGAGCATTCAGTACTCTGTACATTATACACTTCCTTCCTCCCCTCCTTAGGGAAGATTTTCTGGGCATTCAAGCTCTTACAAAGTTACTCCTGATCCATGTATTCTGGGTGCCTTCCCTCTATCTTATAAGTTTGTGATGTGCCTCCTTTCCCTTCCCTGCTCTCCTTCCATGGGGCCCTCTTTTCCTTACCCCTGTGGTGTTATGGCCCTTTCATGCCAGAAAGATCCATTTTCAACCATGCCTCACTCCCAAGAGACTCTTCCCTCTGAAAAATAGCTTGTGGGCTCCCTTTTTGGAAAATACCCATTGTTGGCCTTTCCCTTCCTCTTTTACCTTGGGGTCTCAGGATTGAAATGGACACAAAGAAGAGGTAGAAAGGTACTCTTTGAGACCTTTGGACTACTATTTACTTATCACCATCCACTATGAACAGATTTTGAGCACATGTATTATTAAGCAGGAGGATGGGCAGGAATTTCTTGTTCCATCCCACTTGGATCCTGCACCATCAAGATCATAGAGCTTAGTGGATATGCTGGTCCCTGTCCATGATTCAACATCTTTCCTGGTGTCATGGACACACTTCATCTAATAATTATTGATGAGCTGTCAGTTCTTGTCCCTCTACCCCCTTTCCCATGAATGTCAGTCACCTTCATCTCTATAAAGGTTCCATAAATCATCTGGGCCTAGATTCTGTGCATGCACAGAAATAAGGATTTAATTTCCAATTCCCTATTTACCAATGCCTTCCAGGAGGAGGCTGTGTCCTTTTCAGGCGAATTCTTTCAATTCTTTGCACATCTCTTGGTGTCATTCCCTTTCTTCCCCTTACCTGTTTTGACAAAACGGTGGAGCCTTAACTGCTCCAGCTGCGTTCTTATTCTGTGCTTTCAGACTCTTGACAATTCCAGACTCTAAACAAAGGCCAGAATTCTCTCAAACTCCATTTTGGATGATCCCTTCTCCGCTCTAGAACCTACAATGCTTCCTCTATTCTCTGGTGCCCTGCCAACCCTTTAATACTCATATCTGGTGGCTAAATCGTTATACATTTGTTTCTCTATTAGTAGGAGATCCTGAGGTTTAATCACGTTTTCTCAGTTTACTGGGATTGCCATGAGAGCGGGTGTGTTTCCTCGCAGTCGTTCTTCACACCCAGCTACAGATTTGCCCCATCACCTCATTCTTGTTTTTGCATGCAAAGAATTTTAACCTGATCCCTTGGCCTCGTCCGGTTTATCTCCTAGCCTCAGTAATTTTGCCCGAGTCCCTAGAGCCTACTCCGCCCCCACCCCCGCGCGCGCAGTGCATGCCGGTCTTAGCCCCTCTGTAGGGAAAGAGGGTCCGCCATGTTCCCCGGCGGCGCCGCCGCTTGGCTCTGGTAGCCGCCGCCCCCGCCCCCAACCCCGCCCGGCCCAGAGCCTAGCCGAGCCCCGGGCCCAGCATGGCCGCCCCGGAGCCGGCCAGGGCTGCACCGCCCCCGCCCCCGCCCCCGCCGCCCCCTCCTGGGGCTGACCGCGTCGTCAAAGGTGAGAGGTGGACGAAGCCCTGGGGGCCTGGCCTGAGGAGCTAGCTGTGTGTGAGGGCGGGCGGGAGACCGTCCCCTCGGGAGTGGGCCCGGAAGGGCGGGCGAGTGACTGGCTCCCTCCCTTGGGGAGTGGCCCCTGGGCGGGCCCCTGCTGGGCAGAGCTGAGTCGGTGGCAGTGGCTCCGCGGTCTCCCGCTTGCTTTCAGGCCGGGGCGGAGGTTTTGCTCCCGTGGCTTCCTAGTCCAAGGGGAGAGGCTGCTAGCTGCAGCTCATGAACCGCTTTTCTTCCCACTCGGCCTGTCAGAGCGGTGCAGGGGCCACGATTCGCTTCCTGCCCCGCGACAGCTGCACTTCTGGCTTGCCGGGGCGAACAGAGGGGCTCAGAGACCTTCAGCCGCGCGAGGCTCGCCAGTGAGCAGTCAGAAATCACCTCGGCTTTGGCCCACGCCTGCTACCCGGTGACAGAAGTCCGCCCTATCCGCGCCTAGCTAGCGCCAGCCGCAGGGATTCACTTTTGGCCGTCTGGTGCCACCAGGCGCAGAAATTCGGGGAATCTTGTGGGATTGGACCACGGTAAAGGATCGGGGTAGGAATTGGGAGGCCAGCCTTTATAGTGCAGAAAGGGAGAAAAAGCAGTATAAACGAAAAAAAAAAAATCCTTGTGGATATGAAGTATTTACTTAGAAAACCATCAACTCTTTGGTCAAAAAGGGTTACCCCTCCCAACAAACACACACCCACACACTCAACCTAGACGAAAAAGTTAAATGTTTCTCAGCCAGGGCAGAATTTATGGATGTTTACCCACAACAGCAGATTAATTTAAAATAGAGAAATTAAGGGCTAATTGAGAGTTGCTTAGGATTCCAAGCTCCCTGGGAGAGCCTACCAACCTCAAACATTTGCTGTGGAGGTGAAAAACAATTGAAATGATTCTCTTTACGATGTAGCTTGATTGATATTTGAAATCGTAGAATAAACTTTTCCTTATTTGTATTGTATTTATTTTTAAAATTATAAGTACTTTTATTTTCATTCAGCTTCTCAAATACCCTGGCACAGTATTTAAACACTGTTAACCTACTTTTTGAAATCTGGCTCATGTTTCCATTAAAATATTTAAAAACAAGAAAACTTTTTTTTTTTTAATAAAAAATTTTAAGCCGGAGCCTTCTTTGGTTCTTAAAAGATTAATACTAATTTGGCCCGCCGTGGTGGCTCATACCTGTAATCCCAGCACTTTGAGAGGCTGAGGCAGGCAATTGTTTGCGCTCAGGAGTTGGAGACCAGCTTGGGCAACATAGCGAAACCTTGTCTCTATCGAAAATACAAAAAAATAAAAATTAGCTGGGCATGGTGGCACGCCCCCGTAGTCGCAGCTGCGCAAGAGGCTGAGGCACGAGAATCTCTTGAGCCCGAGAGGTGGACGTTGCAGTGAGGTGAGATTGTGCCACTGGGCGACAGAGCCAGACCCTGTCTCCAAAAAAAAAAAAAGCCCAAAACACTGCTTAGCACCTAGGCTTAAGTGGATTGTTTTTAAAGTTAGTAGTATATCCATTTGGGCCAGGCATTGGAATGAACTGCATAAACAGTTTATGGAATTTTTTTACAGAGAAATCTTAAAAATAAAATTTAAAGAATAATAATGCAGGCATTCATTCTATCAAGAAATCCTGGAGCCTTATGGGGGTGGGAACGGGGACATTGGCTACCTCTTCATTTTCTGACTGTAATTCTGTGTTGTGTGTTCATTTCCCTGGGCACTTTTCACCAGACTGTTAGATGGGATAACCAATCACATTCCTGAACAATGAGTTTATGCTATCCTTATGCTTGTGAAGCTTCTTATTCCTCGTCATATATATGGTAATGTTTTTTCTGTACTGCTTTAATGCAGTAAAAATAAGATTCCAAACATAAGGCAATTTCCTTAGGGGTGAGTTTTGAGTCCAAGGCAGTCATATTTGCAGATTATTGGTGTGGAATAAAAGCCATTTGAATTACATAAATAGGAAAGGAGCTTGTTAATATAGAAAATTATAGTTAAATAAAGGTCAGGGTTGTATCTCTTGTGCTTTATTGTGCCCTCTTCATAGAGACCACTTTCATTTCTTTATGGAATTTGTTAACCAGTTGGAATACCTATATAGAGCCTATGTTTAAAAATGATGTGTAACAGACTAGTTTGCATTGCTCATGGAGTGTCCTGCATTTACTGGGAAATTCACCTTTCATACAGATCCAGAAATCCACTTTTCAATTTCATCTTCAGGATTCTTCCTTGCCTTTTATTCAGCAATTATACTATAATGTGATACCCAATGTTAGAGAATACTGGTTGCCTGAAGATAAAAGATGACTGTGTGAGTTCAGCTTAAGTTTAACTTATTAAAATCTAAATTTCTTTTTATTTATTTATTTTTTGAGACAGAGTTTCGTTCTTGTTACCCAGACGGGAGTGCAATGGCGCGATTTCGGCTCACCGCAACCTTCGCCTCCTGGGTTCAGGCAATTCTCCTGCCTCAGCCTCCTGAGTAGCTGGGATTACAGGCACGCACCACCATGCCCAGCTAATTTTTTGTATTTTTAGTAGAGACGGGGTTTCACCATGTTGACCAGGATGGTCTCGATCTCTTGACCTCGTGATCCACCCGCCTCGGCCTCCCAAAGTGCTGGAATTACAGGCTTGAGCCACCACGCCTGGCCTTATTTATTTATTTTTTAAATAAAAAAATTTACTAATTTAATTTACTTCTTTTTTTTTTAATAAGATGGGGGTTTCACCATGTTGGTCAGGCTGGTGGTCTTGAACTCCTGACCTCAGGTGATCTGCCCACCTTGGCCTCCAAAGTGCTTGGATTACAGGCATGAGCTACCACGCCCGGCCTAAAATCTAAATTTCTTTTAAGTCCAGAATGTGCTGGTAGTTTTGTATTCATACATTTTCATAGTAGTGATATTATGGAGACCATATGTTGGCATTGAATGCCAGTAGTCTTTTTCTCCATGGAACAACAAATTTTTTTTTTTGAGATGGAGTTTCGCTCTTGTTGCCCAAGCTGGAGTGCAGTGGCATGATCTGGGCTCATTGCAACCTCTGTCTTCAGGGTTCAAGCAAGTCTACTGCCTCAGCCTCCAGAGTAGCCGCGATTACAGGCATGTGCCACCACATCCAGCTGATTTTTTTTGTATTTTTAGTAGAAATGGAGTATCACCATTTAGCCAGGCTGGTCTCGAACACCTGACCTCAGGTGGTCGGCCTGCCTTGGCCTCCCAAAGTGCTGGGATTACAGGCATGAGCCACTGTGCCTGGCCTGTCTCCCTGGAACTTGTTATGTCTAAATTTTTTTAAAAATTGTACTTTAAGTTCTGGGGTACATGTGCAGAACATGCAGGTATACATGTGCCATGGTGGTTGGCTGTATCCATTACCCTGTCATCTACATTAGGTATTTCTCCTAATGCTGTCTCTCTCCTAGTCTCCTACCCCTCAAGTGTCTAAATTTTATGCTCTGTGCTTCTTCTAGTCATAAGTCCTACATTTTATGGTCATGTAGATTTTTAAGTGTATATAGGTCTTTCCATGTTTAAGATCAGATACCTGAAATTCACTTTTTGTGAAGTTTGAGAGCTCACAATAGGTGATTCATGTGTAAATGTGATGAGCTTGTCACTAAAATTATTAGTGGTAATTCCATATAATTGATTATGGGTGGTTAGGTTTTTTGGTTGATTAAATTCAGTTCTGAGCCTACTCCAGCTGCTGGCTCAGGTAAAATTCTTCCTCTGTTTGAAAGATGATGTGGCCTGGTGTGGTGGCTCACGCCTGTAATCCCAGCACTTTGGGAGGCCAAGGTGGATGGATCACAATTTCAGGAGTTCAAGACCAGCCTAACCAACATGATGACACCTCGTCTCTACTAAAAATGCAAAAATTAGCCAGGCGTGGTGGCACATGCCTGTAATCCTAGCTGCTCATGAATGAGACTGAGGCGGGAGAATCGCTTGAACCTGGGAGGCAGAGGTTGCAGTGAGCTGAGATCGCACCACTGCACTGCAACCGGGTGACAGAACAAGATTCCGTCTCAAAAAAAAAAAAAAAAAAGAAAGTTGATGTAACTCAACTGATAAAGTGAGATGGTATATACCCTTTTAATGATATTCTGTTAGGCATTCTTTAGATATGTTGGAAATAAGAAAAAGGAAACAAATTAGGAAAAACAATCATATCGGCTTGTGTGTCTTTCTACCACATCAGCATAGGTATACATAATTAAAGCACAAAACCCTGAATTTATATATATTGCTTTTCCTCTTTCCCACAAAGTTTACTTGACCAGATACCTCCTTTTCCCCCAGACACTTAAAAAAATGTACTTTTTGCTTTGTATACCAGGTTCTGGACTTGTAAAGCTGGATTGTCTCTTGAGATTATCATGCCTATTAGTATTAATAGAAAAATTCACCTTTTTACTTAGAGAGCATTGTCAATATTGAGTATATGTTCATTTTAGCACCTACACTGTGACTCATTTTCTTAACGTTGGTTTATTTCCTGGGTTATATTAACCTCAAATTATCAGACTTTCAGACTGAGCCAAAATGCTAAAGTTTATGTGTTTTACTATTTTTTTTA